AATAGTGCATTTTAGATTACAACCTCAGAGAGAGATGCATCTCAAAAATGTACTGGCGTGGTCTTTGAGAAGAATCTGCTGTGCAGAAGAGTGTTTTGAGTTGAATTAATTTACGGGCAATAGGCAATCGCTGACTTTATCCAACAAAACAGCTCCTTCCCTCTAGGAGCTGAATTGCCTTTTGTTCACCCAGTCTAAATTCTGGATACTATCAGAGTTGCACTTATGACAAGCTGTGCTTTTAAGAAGGTTAGGTCCTGTGACTCCTTTCATACGATTTTAGAACATATTAAATGTGTCTGAAGTGGCATCAAGAAGAGAATGATCCCGAGAGTCCATGAGTTGCCTTGTATCTGCAGTTCCTGATGCAGCTCTCATGATATTTACGTACATTCTGCAGAGATGATCTGTGTAATAATTTGTATGCCATAAATCTCACTGTGAGGTTTATGAAGCAGATACTGGGGAACGTGGCTGACTGCAGATGGTCACTTGTAACTGTATAACTAATTCCATATCACCGTGTGTTTCTTTGGATGGTTTAAAATTTCATTCCAGGTCTGATCTCTGTTTCAATTGCTTTCAGACTTCAGGAAGGAATATTGTAAATGAAGACATTCCCAAGCTGCTGGCTGGACCAGAAGCTTCAATCCAAGATAGATGGAAAAGAGATGCCTTTCATAATACCACGTCCCTCCAGTTACCATACATTTTTCATGTAGAGTTTCTCCCCAGTAAGCATGAGGGTATTTGCAAATGCTTTCTGAAAGAGTTAGGCCATCTGTCTTGCGTGCATTTATGATGGGTTTGGGTTTACTTTCCTTCTATTGTTCTCCCAGTCCTCCCTCCCATTTTCTTTCTGATATTATTGTTGTTTTTATGCATCAATGATTTTTACGAGCTGAATCAGCAGACCTTTTGCTTTGATGTTACTGCTTTAAATAAACCAACCTGCAACACCAATCTTAGCTATCATTATATCAGGCATTTTTTTCATGCAATGTACTCGTTAGAAAAGTAATAGCAAAGCCTGATTGTGATCTCTCATATGCTGGTTGTACATTGAGAGGAAGAGTACTGTCACTTAGCACTTTATATATTCCAGGTACAAAGAATTGCTTATTCAGCCCTGCACAAATAACAATATAAATACCTCATCATACAAACAGGGAAATGTCAACATCCTCATTTTACAGGGGGAAGGGAGGCAGACAAATCTAGTTGCCACCAACATAGTGTTGGGATCAGCTCCAAAGAGATCTGGGAGTCTAAATTTGTTTTTCTCACTCTAAGCTTGACTGTTGATTTGTTTTTGTTTCAGTGCAAACCAAACCAAATTTGTCAGGAGCAGACACTTCCAGCTGCAGTTGGAGGTACAGTGCTGTAATGCCAGTGTCAGTTAGATCAGATCCAGAAATATTATGGACAGAGCTAAGCTCCTGTGTGGAATCTGGAGCATGATTTTCCTGCAGTCCTTGAGTGGATCCTCCCCACACAGTTCTTGTGAGCTCATCACAGAAAAAGGTACGATTACAGCACAGTTAGACTAACTGTTGAAAAGAATAACTTCCACGAGCCAACCATGAGGAGCAAAACTAACAATGCATTCCACCAAATAGCCTGTCAGGCACTGTTGTGGATCATGGTCCCCAAAAGAAGCAGCCAGGAAGGGATATGAGTTTACTCTTGTAGGTTTTGGCATTGTTCTGGGGAGCATAAGTGTGAGGCTGTGGGCTGAAGGGGAATTCTGCATTTAATTCTACTGTATCAGGTGGGGGTGTCCAAACATTTGGAAGTCAGTAATTACGTGTTACACTACAAGCAAGGTAAAGTGTCAGGAAAGCCAGAAAATATTAACAGCTCCATACAGTCTCTCTGACTGCTTGAGATATGCTGTGGCACCATTCCCAAACCATGGCAGACCTGTGGTCCTTTTGTGCATGGATGAAAATAAGGTTTCCTGCAGTTGGAAGTGTGAAGGCAACAGCTTGTGTTCTCATGGAAGCGTGTAGCTGGCCAGGGATTGCCAGCTTACTCTTTGAGTGTCTGAAGAGAAGAGCAGAGGAAGGGATTGAGCATGGGTGAGGTGACTGGAGCTGGAGCAAGGTCTCCGGGATGTTGTGAGTGGTGGAAGTGTGAAGAGGAGCTTGTGTGGAACTACTGTGAGTGTAAGGAGTGGTTTCAGGCTTGAAGCAGTGCTCTGCTTGCAGCTGCTGCCTCAGTGTGGATTTCTTCCTGTTGTGAAGAATCCTGAGATCTTTGCTGGTGATAAAGTAGCTGTCCAAGGAAGCATCTCCGTTTACCACCTAAATAATTGAGAATATCATCTGCTGCCTTCTACAGTGTGTGTCCTGGCAGTTACAGCCACTCTCACCACTTACCACACGTCAGTGCTATGTAATGGGGTAGAGGTTTGGCCAAAATGGAAAGTGATGTCATGGTTGGGTGAAAGTACCTACTACAGGCACACATACTGTAAAGGTCCAGGGCTTTTTTGAGAGCTATTCAGTACTGTGGGCCTCCCAGACATAGGAATCAAGTCTTGTGCAGACCCTTTCTTTCCACTGCTACCAACCTGGATGTCTGATTTACTGATGCTCATGCTACAGCTGAGCAAATCCTGATCTTATGATTTGTTCAGTTCTCCTGCTGTTCTCCAGGCAATTTCTGTGATTTCTGCCTTTCTTTCCACTTGAAGATACGCTTGTACAAGAGAGTTCAGAGTAGGCAGACTGAAGACTGGTGGTAAGGAGGGCGTGGGGTTGGGCCCAGGTCCTTATTTGCTTTCCCTTCTCCCAGGGTGTTCAGCCATTCCTAGGTTGCCTTTGGCAGGATCTGATTGGAACCCAGGCTGCATTCCTGCAGGTGTGTAAGGCTGCTCTGGTTATTCCATCAGGGTGGCACAGACTCAAATAATTGCCATTAATCTCTTTCTCCCTCCCTTTCATGTCTGTGAGTCAAAGGTTGGAGATCTTTACTTGCCAGTTCGAATTGCTTAGCACAGCTCATACAGACATCAGCTCAAAGTGGGGTTACTCATAAACTCCATTTAAATATTTTATTGGACTTCTGGGCTGCAAAATAGCTTAAGGGGAAAGAAATGTATTTGTTCTCTGAAACAAGTGCTAGGAAGAACTTGATGAGTTCCTCATCCTCGCTTTGATCCCAAGTTTGAATTTGGATAATGGTCAGACAAAGCAGTATAACTTTGACTGATCAAAATGGGAGACCAGGTTGAGATCGTGGTCCTTTTTCATCAGGAGAGGCATACGTTGTGTGATTGGGCTGAGGATCAGAACAGTGGTTTTTAAAAGCAGCCTGCCACATCCAGTGTGTAATTTACTAAGTTAAAATACTGGCTGAAGGAGATCCAGGCAAGATTGCTGGCTATCGACTGGTGTGTTTTCAAACTGTTGAAAGAAACCAGAAAACTGAGCCCTAAGCTGAAGAGGTTTTTGTTTCTTAGTTCAGAGAGTTAACAAGGGCTGTGTGCCCTCCACTGCTGGTGAGAAGCCATCTTTTGCTTGTTTTGTGGTGGGGCTTTGTTTTGTGCTTGTTTTGTGGTAGGTGATGGTTGATGGTTGGACTTGATGACCCTGAAGGTCTTCTCCAACCTAAATGATTGTGATCTTGCATGTGGACATTAGGAGTGGATCTGCAATCTGGATTTGTAGGTGACCACTAGCTCAGGGACAGGACTGTGTTCTGTTCCCACCCTGCCAGAGGCTTGATGTGATTCTAGGCAGGTTGGCTTTCTCTCTCTCCCATCTCTCATCTCAGCCTTTCTCTCTGAGAAATGATTTTGTCTGAGTTACTTGAGACTTCTGGTTTTCTTATGACTTTATCTATCTTGATAGGAAAACTGCAATGCAGGTGGGTTTTTTCCACTGATGCTCATGCTTGTCTTGGCTTTGTTACTCAGTCTGTCTTCTGTAAACTCATTCATTAGCAACTAACTGCGTTTGTTAATCACTCTAAGAATGCTGTAACCTGTAATATATGCTTTCCCTCATTTTATCATTACGTGATAATTTGCAGGAGAGAGTACATCTGTGCAAATTGTAGGCTTAGATTAGTGAAGATGACATAATCATGATCTTAATTGGACGTAAATAGAGAGGAAGGAAAATAAAATAAGAAGGAAAACAGATGAAAGAGTGAAGGACCTGCATGGAGTCAGTGACTTGTAAAAAGGAGAAGAAAGTGAAAGAGCCCATTTCAGAGAGTCTGGGGAAAAAAATTTCTTTCCATAAGATGAGGTCTTAATTGAAGAGTAAAAGAGCTTAATTTGAATGGAAGCTCATGCAGCTGTACAGGCAAACAGTGTGTGTTGCAGGTGGGGAAGGTTGGTTGTGACTTCTGCCAGTCTGATCCTCTGGTCTAAGAGCATCAATAGCTGGAGCATGCTTTTTCAGTTCAATTATCTTTGAAATACATGCATTTTAAGTGCATTTAGTGCATTTTAAGGCTGTTTCGTAATGCAAACCAAAGGGTGCTATGTGGGAACACTGGGATTTGTTCTCAGACAGTTCTGATACAAAGTGCTGCAGCAAATGAGCCCTTGGAGTTCATTTGGCTGATACAAATGAAGTTCCAATGCACTTTTGTATTTCTGCAACTTGATGACGTAGAAACAGGGAAGAACTGAAGTGAGGAAACAGTCACACAATGTAATGTTTGTTTGCCAGAAGATGCAGAAGGCCACTGGCATAACAGGCTGGAAATAGAGCCCTTTCTTTTCTGCTTCATGCATGCAATGCTTCCTCTCAAGACTGTGGGGAAGACCTGGTCCGTGCATCTTGTTTCGTTCTTCATTGTTGCAGAATTAATTTTCATGATTATTGTTACTTAACTTTTACCATTTGTCCTTGCTGTGTAACTCTCCTAGCATTTAAGAAATAAAGGAGAACGTAAAGAGTTTCAATTACAGGTTGATTTTATTTCTTGCTTTCTGGAGATCCTGCCTCAGCTATCGCCAGCATTAGCTAATTCTTCCCAGTGTTTAATTTCAGAGCATCCTGAAGTGCTTGACAAAGTGCAGTTCTGATGCAGTGAGTTATTCCAGTGATTTTAATATGGGACATTCGGCGATTTTGACTTGGGACATCATCATTTGTCTCAGATGTGGGGCTCACAGGCGAATTCTAGCTCTCCAGAATCGTGTGATGAACATTTCTGTGGCTGCACATGGAGTTGGAATCATTTATCACAGAGATGAAGGCTGGCAGCTCCTTCAGAGTACATAATTTTGCAGGACCAGAAGGGAAGATAACATATCCTGCTGGAATAGTTTATGGCACAGTTTTATAGTTCTCTCCCAGCCCAAATTCCTTCCTTGCAGAACTAACACCTTGCAAAGTTCCTGCTGTGCATTCTGTTCTTGGAGGGCTGCCACCCACTGAGTAGTATCCCAGCTGGTGACAGAGTTCTTTCAGGGACACTGGTGGAGGCAGCTTGCATTGCAGTTTGGGTGGATAAAGCAGGGTGCAGGTGCACCTTGGTGAGAGCAAATGACAGCTGTTCTTGAGCAGGTGAAGCCAGGGACCACGTAAAATAAAGGTCTCATCCCAACTACTCTTCCTGGGACTGTTTTAGGACTTCACTGGTCGTGGTTATAACCTGTGAGTTGGATCATTCATTGTTAGGTGAAGACAGATGAGGACTCTTGAGGAAAAAAAGATACTTTGGGCAGAGTGAGATCATCCTGGAGCTGGTCTCTGTTTTTTTCTGCTCCATGCATGCAATCCCACTCACCAGTCCCACTCTGTGTCTCTGTAGGCAGTGGGTCTGATGTTCCAGGAAAGCAGCTGGGTACAAGCAAAAGCTAATTTAGCAACCACAGGGCCTGCTCTGCAGACCACTGAAATTAAATATTTTCATTGTCTTCAAACTGTCCAAAATGAAGTCCAGATTGTCCCCATTTCCTTTCTGCTTTCAAAGTCTGGGGAGAGCCATTCCAGTGGAGAGGGACTTGTTTGTCGTTAGGAACAGATTTCTTAGGGGAAGAAGAAATACTGGGGAGCTGAGAGAAGCAGGATAGTGGTCTGACTAGACATTCCTAAGCAAAAAGCTCCATTGTTCCCTAGAGGTCAAGTTTCTAAACATATGTGGCCCTCTGCACATCAGCTGCTCTGAAGACAATTGCTGCAGGGAAATTTTCCAAGCGTGGCTCTTTTCTTTGGGGAAAGAAAAAGAAAGTGCTGCAGCTGCTAAAAAGAGGTAGGAGAACCAGAAAATGGTCAAGGAAAGATTGAATGCTTTGTGTTTGAATCCGGAGGTGATGAATGCCTGCGGAGCTTACTGAACTGCAGGTCTCTTGCCTCCCTCTAGCGGTGCTTGCCCTTATTTCCTCCTGAACTGCATCAGGACCGAGTTGTGCGATGAGCTGACTGCCCCAGTTCAGCTGCACGGAGGGAGTATAAGAGGAAACAAAGCATAGGAGAGATCCACGAGCAAAATGGCTTGCAGTACATCCTGCTGCAGCATCTTAATTTTATGCGCATCAAACCTGGTTGGTTCCACTTCTCTTCCTCTTTTAAGGATCCTTTCCATGTTTAGTTCTCATGCTGTGTCAGTGCTAATCTTGCTGATGTGAATACAGGGAGATGAAGGGTAGCTGCATGTCTGCAGGTCACTGTGATTCCAGTCTGGAAGGAATCTTCCCCAGCTCGTAGGTGTCATCACTTTGGTTCCACACAATCCACCCTGCTGCCCTCCTTGGACCATCAGCCCCTACAAGGGGATGGGGAGCATGCAGTGATGCTCACTCCACTGACTGTGCTGTGCCTCTGAAACAAACAAAACCAAAGGTCAGAAGAACAGTAGGAAAACTGCCAGCGATGACTCTTGAGAAGAAATAATCCTCCAAGTGAAAGATGATTTTGTTCAGGTGGTTAAAAGATACAAGATCTCAGTGTGGGTTCAACTCACAGAGTGTCAGAGAGCTCAGAGCTTTTCTTTTTCTTGTATCTCTTTAAACAAATATGTATTTGCTAAGCACCCAGAGCATGATGAGCCTTTGGAATTCACTGAGACAAGCAGCCACCATCGCTCTAATTCAAAGGACCCCTTTTAAAAAGGCTTGGCTCTTCTCTGTGTGGTAATGAAGTGCACTGCTGTATAAATGAGGCAAAGGGTGAGCAGCTTTCATGCCTCAGGACACTATCTGCTCCCTGCAGGGGTCAGTGAGACTATTTGCTCTGTCACGGAGAGCATGGCACTAATAGCAAGAGATTTTATGCCTTCTATTTATTTTCCACTGAAGTGTTAAGCACTGAACTCTGCAAGAAGCGAGATATTAGCCCTGATGGACCAGTGGTTTGCTCAGGTGGCACATTCTGCATCCCATGTACACTCTTTAATTGGATTAGCTTGTGGTTTGACTGTGACATGAAAGTGAGTTATCTCTTCTGTGCTTTATGGGGACGTGGAAGGCTTTTTGTGAGTCATAGATTCAGCCTCATCATGTCTGTTCCAAGGTAGTATTCTGACAATTATACGACTCATTATATTTTCAGTTGTCAAAAGAGAAAGCAAAGCCAATAGAGCAGGAGCAGAGATTTTTTTTTTTCCAGGTTTAATCTTTGTGCAAACACCACCAGCTCCTCTGAGGAATTCGGGAGGTCATTAAGTATGAACTGAAGAGACCAAAGGGCTGGATGGTTATACTTTGCCTGGATTTTGCACTGAAAATACCCCCAAAAGCTCAGTATATCAGAGCATATAGCTTGCACCAGAGCTGTCGTGTAGTCATCCCAGAGAGCATTTTCCATTCTTGCCTGGAGCTTCCTGCTGCAGTCAGTATTTCTTTAGGGATTTTTGTATTGACAGTCAACAGTGTCTCCAACCTGTTTCTTCCTTCTCCCCTCCTTTATGATCCTCGTTATATATTCTTACAGCTTCATTTACAAATGCTTTATGTTAACTGGTTTTGCTCTCTCCAGCTCATTTCCCTACCCCCCATTAGTCCAGGTAACAGAGTTGACAGCACACATAGCAGTAGTGATGTACTGATTATCTGAATCCAAGCACCACCTTCATTTTCCATTACTGTAATGTAATTCTACTTAAATGACACCATAAATAGGAGCACAGGAAATAGGGATGTGTCTGATCTCCAAGCCTCTAAGAGCATCGACATGTTCTGCTGGTAAAAGAACCATCCCAGTGCCACAGGTAATTCAGTCACTGAGCTGTGATTTACTCCTTCAGAGAAAGCAGATGAATATTCTGAGGCGAGAATGTCCTCTTTCTTTGGAAGTGGGATAGAAAAGAGGTTGAAATTAGCTTGGGATTTTCCTGGAAAGGCTTTTTTTTTAATGAGCGGATTCCTTGAAACCCGAATTGCTGTTCTGAAATCTTCACTTTCTGCCTGTCAGCATGGGGGATTTCTAGAAAGAATGGTGAACCCATCCCGAATCTATCAGCTGCACATCTGTCTCACCTGGCAGCAGTGAGAAGCGCTGTGAAATGTAGGAGATGAAGGGTCTGAAGCTCAGTCAGTGCTAAGCATTGCAGTGCAATCTGTCCCAGCAAGCTTCCTCCAGAGCAGCTATTAACAGCAAATTGTTCAGAGCCACAAATATCCCTTCTTTCTTATTAGCATAAGCTCTGGAGAAGCCAACTGCACTGTAGAAAATCTCATGATTGGCAGAGAGCCCAGAGAACCTACCTCAGCTCTCATGAAATACGAAGGGCAGAGGCAGTCCAAATTCTTGAGGTACTCAAAGGAGAGGAGTCTGTCTGCCACTGTGATGCAGTGGGAACTGTCACTCACAGATGTCTCATAGGCATCTTGCCCATCTCTTGTTGGAAGGAAGCCTCTGGTTGGAAGTTAATCTGGTGAAGAGTATTGATTTAGGTGATAAAGATTAGAAACAGAATATGTATGTATATATATATATATATATATATATATATATATGGTAGCACAATAGGTGTGTGCTAGCATATCCTAGAATCATAGAATGGTCTGGATTGAAAAGGACCACAGTGCTCATCCAGTTCCAACCCCCTGCTGTGTGCAGGTCACCAACCAGCAGCCCAGGCTGCCCAGGGCCACATCCAGCCTGGCCTTGAATGCCTGCAGGGATGGGGCATCCACAGCCTCCTTGGGCAACCTGTGCCAGTGCCTCACCACCCTCTGGGTGAAATATGCAGCTTTTCCAGCTGCCATGGCTACTGTGGGGCTGACCCCATTGGTACAGTGGCTTACCTGGCATGGAATGGTGCAGTGGATTTACCTGGAAAGTGTTCAGTAATTCTTAGAGGCAGAAAGGTTCGGCCTGGAGAAAAGAAGGCTGCAGGCTGACCTCATTGCAGCCTTTCCTAAAGGGAGCCTACAAACAGGAGGAGAACCAACTCTTTGAAAGGGTAAATAACTGCAGGATGAGGGGAAATGGTTTGAAGTTGAGAGAGGGAAAATTGAGGTTGGATGTCAGGGGGAAATTCTTTACTGTGAGTGGTGAGGTGCTGGAACAGCTGCCCAGAGAGGCTGTGGATGCCCCGTCCATCCCAGGAGGTGTTCAAGGCCAGGTTGGATGGGGCCCTGGGCAGCCTGGGCTGCTGTGAAATGGGGAGGTTGGTGGCCCTGCGTGTGGCAGGGGGCTGGAGATTCATCATCCTTGGGGTCCCTTCCAACCCTGGCCATTCTGTGATCCTGTGAAAGGGAGGGCGGAGAAGGGACTGACAGCATCAGGAAGCGCTCTTACAGACACCTGTGCTCCCTGCCCCTAAGTACCCAAAGATCGCAAGCAAAAATGCTTGTATTTCCCCCTTTCGGAACCATCGCTCCGCTCGCAGCCCCTCCCCGGGCCGCCCCGCTGCAGTGCTGCCGTGTCGGCGGGGGGCGGCGGGCGAGAGCCGGGCTGCGTGCGGGCCGAGAGGCAGCAAGAGGAGGAGGAGGAGAGGAGAAGGGGAGAGGAGGAGGAGGGCGGCTCGCCCGCTGCCCCCCCGCTGCCCGCCGGCCCCGGGGCTGGGTGCCGCGGCGGCCCCGCTGCCCAGCGCGGCGGGGGGCGGCGGGAGGATGCGCGCGGGGCGGGAGGCGGCGGCGGAGGCGGCGAAGGGCTGCCGTTCCCGGGTCGGGCAGCTAGAGAGCAGTGCAGGGAGCGGAATCCCGGCCCAGGAGCGTGGCGGCGGCGGCGGCGGCGGCCGGGCGCTACGAGCTGCCTTCCTGTGCGGGGCGGCCGCGGGCTGGAGGCGCTGAGCGGAGCCCCGGGCCGCCTCCCCGCAGCGCGCTGTTCGCCCGCCGCGCTGCCCTCTCCCATGGCGGAGACTAAAATCATTTATCACATCGACGAAGAGGAAACCCCTTATCTGGTGAAGCTGCCCGTCCCTCCGGAAAAAGTCACTTTAGCCGATTTTAAAAATGTCCTCAGCAACCGGCCCGTGCACAGCTACAAATTCTTCTTTAAATCCATGGATCAGGATTTCGGGTAAGCCGGCCGCCCAGGTGGCGATGCCGTTTCGGGGAGGTGAGGGGGTCGGGGGGGGGGGTCCCGGTTGCTCCGTTCCGCCTTTCCCTCTGACAGCCCGGATGGGAGAGCACCTGCTGGGCTGGATGGAGGCGGGCGGGCGCTTCCCGCGATGAGGGGCTGCGGTTGGAAGCTCCGCTCAGCGCCCCGAGCCGCGCATTGCGGCACCCGCTGGGCTGGAGGCCCCGCCGGCGGCTGGCGGGGAAGGGGGGGAGCGGCGGCCGCTAATATGGCGGCCCCGGCTCTGACAGCTCCCCGCCCGGCCGTTCGGAGGCCTCGGCTCGAGCGAGGCTCCGTGCTGAGGTCGGGGCCTGCAAAACGCGTCTCCTTTTGGGGCTGTGCTCGATGCCGGCTCGTGCTGCTTCTCCTCGCGGCTCTCCCAGCCCACCGGCTGCTGTCAGAGCTCCGGTGCCGTTCGGGCGGTGTTTGTGGCCGAGTTCCGCCGTCCTCCCTGCCCGCGTACCGGCCTTATCTACGGTCGATAAAAGAAAAGCGATAAAAAAAGCCGTTCTGACAGCTCGTAACTTTGAAAACCCATTAATCCCTTTGTAGCAAATCGCTTCTCTTTGTACTCGCGTCTGTCGCTGGCACGGCGATTTTATTTCACGTATCAACGCCTCGCCAGCAGAAAAGACGAGGAGCAGGTCTGTGGAATACTACCGCCAGAGCCGAGTAACGGAGGGGCTGGGTGGTGAAACACATCGCCCTGTTACGTCCCCTATCCCCGAGACCCAGAGATACCCCTTTTCTGCTCCATCCACCGCGGAATGTGGACGTTGTTTGTTGACACGTATTTCTGATGTGGCAATTCGTTAGCGTTGGCACGCCGCTGTAGGGATTGCTGGCATTGCTCGTGCGTTGACTTGTTGTTGATCGGGATTGTGAAAACACGCTTTGGGAAACAGCTACACGAAATGTTTGTTTTCAAAATACGGCTTTTAAAAATGCCTGTTCGTAAATTTCTCTCCTCTGCCCCCTCCCCCCAAATGATGGGGACGTTTAGGAATCCTGGATCGATGTTTTGTGGTGCAGCCTCAATGAAGGATGATGGATTTGTTCAGGCAGCGTTTGTGTTCGTTGCCGCTGCTTGCAGATGTTTGGGTGTGAGGGAGAGCGAAAGCGGTGCTGATGCTGTTGGGTGTGCTGGTGGCATCTCTGGCACGTGTGGGCAGTAAATCCTGCGGTGGATTTGTCTCAAAACTTAAAGGGAGACGGGCTGTTCTCCTTGTCTTGCCCTAGAAATGGTGGAGGATGAAGGGCTGTCAATAGGTGGTTAGGCTTAGCGCCGTAAATTCTGCTTCTCTCATTTAAACTATGGTCTCAAATGTAACCGACCAAGACGGGGGCTTGTTTGTGAGGGATTATACAACATTAAGGTTGGAAATGATCACTAAGATAGTAAAATCCAACCCTACCTCCACTGTGCCCCACTGAACTGTGTCCCTCAATGCCACATCCAGGGAAACCTCCAGTCATGGTGACTCCAGCACTTCATTGGGGGTGGAGGATGACTGCGGACTGCGATGCAGTCAAGAGGCATGAAACTGAATGTGAATCAGTTCAGCAGCGAATAGAGATTTGTAACTTTGGGGCTAAAAAGGCTCGGAGGACCCCCATGGGATGCTGGCAGCTGAATGCATACGGAGGAGTACACCCCTGACTTTGCTTGGGAGATTTGTGCTGGACCTCATGGTTCACCACAGGCTTCCTGTGAACCCGTATGTCACCCTATATTATTAATTCCTGAATTTTCTCTAAGCTGTAGCAATCAGTTGTACATGAGCAATGCCACTGACTTTGTGGTGGTAGAGGCACACATCAGGGCTGGGTCACTTGGAGGATCGGGATGGTGTGTGAACCTGACTTGCGTTCCCACTGACATCTCTAACTGCCTTTTGACTTCCAGTAGAATTTTTACAGCTGAGTTATGATCCAAAATAGAATTGGATTTGTAATAAAAAAGCTAATGCACGATTTCACTGCGCTGACAACAGCACAACCACATCACAGCTCTCCTTCTGTGTCTGTAGGATGTATTCAGGGTTTTAGGATATCCTAAGAGCAAGCAGCACTTTTCCTTTCTCCCTTTTTCTTCTTCCTGCTATTTGTCACCTTTTCAGTACCATAGAGCACCATCTTATCATGGGTTCATCTCTAATTCCCATGAAGACTGGCTGCTCTGCCCTCAGGATGAAGGTATGACCAAGGCTGCCATGATCCAATCTTCAAGAGTATTCCAACCAGCTTCAGTGTACACCACAGTCCAGGTGAAGGCTCTCACAGGTGCTGCTGCTGAGGCAGGAGCCCATCATCTGAAACAGCTGGAGGTAACCCACACCTCTGAAAGCTGTCAGTCGCATTTTGGTCTCTGTTTCACTTGTCAGCCAAACTGTTATTGCATGGATAATCTCAATTACCTGTGAAAATTAGAGAATTAGGAGGAATCCACTATCAGTCTCTGCAGTCTCAGCAAGCGTTAATGGTAAATTTGGGCTTTTCTCCTAATCTTATCTACAAGCTGACTTTCTTACTGTTGCAAATAGGTAATTATAGCTGCAGTCACCACTAACCGTAAGAGCGTTGTACACCTGATTTCTGCCTTACCTGCTTGCAGATGCCCTCCAGAGAAGTGTGTTCTGTAAATGGCTCTTCAGCTGCAGTAACATTTTGGTTTTCAGTGCTCTCCTCGTCTGTCCCTGGTGTCACTGCATGCTGGCTGTGCAGAACTGTGATTTGGCACAAGCAGCACTGCTTGGCAGGGTGCTTTGTAAATCCCAGTATGGAGCAAAAAGTCATTCCTGTGTTAGGAAAGCAAATGTTTTCTTGGAGAAGTGGAGCCTCCTCGAGAAGCCAGTGATTGGGAACCAACGCAGCAACCCTGCACATGTTGTTGTAATTAAGGCCCGGCCTTTCCTGGATCCTGAAATAACCCAACAAATAATTGTGTTCAGAAACAGTGGATGTGTTGAATTGTTTCCAGCGGTGGAAGATAGAGTTGCTTACCATTGGGATGGAGCTGGATGTGGACGTGGAGCCATGTCAGGCTGTGCTGTGACAACAGAGCAGCGGTGAGTACCTGCGCTGGGCTGCTTCCAGCTGCCCTCCTTGGAAGGTGAGCTGAGGAAAGCTGCAGGAGTGGCAGGTTTTCTCCTGACTTCAGTTAGCCTTACAGCCTTAATGTTGCCCTCTTGGTAAAGCTGTAAAAAGATCTGTGTAACTTTTTGGCTTTCCTGGCAGCGTTTCCTCGACAGAAAAACATCTTCCCATGCTGTTTCGTTTTCTGTCCTGATTTCTGTGCCACCTCTTGAGGGGATGGACCTGTCTGTGTTCTGCAAGCCCAGGCTTCCCTGTGGACTCTGTCCATAATGTCATATTGAGATGCAGAGCAGTTAGCTGTGTTCTCACTTGGACTTGACCCTTGGAAGTGCTTTGTAGTTTCTATTTCTGTTCTCATGAGTGGGAAGCTAAGCTGGAACGTCACGGGATTGGATTCATTAATGTGGTGGTATCTACCAAGAGGGAAATGTAGAGAAGGGGCTATTTGTGATGTGTGTTTTACGGGCAGGGAGCGCTGCTGTCGGCTGCCTTTGGTGCTCTCTTTCTTCCAGGGAAGGAGATGGGAGGTCACTTCCTACCACTGAAATTATTGATTCTGAGGTTACAGCTGCATGTCCTTGTAATGATGTATAATGCAATTTTGTTGATTCTTTGATGATTGAAAAATAACAGATAACGGATGCATCTTAAAGGAAGGCTATGGTTTGTGGCGCCGGGGCTGTCATGACTGCAGCTCTGACAGCTGCATAAACTGTGTAGGATCCAAGTGATTCATGATGAATCCGTGTGACAGATCCCATAATAGAAACACTGATCTGCCTGCTGTAAATATTTGGTATTTTCAGAGCTTTTCTTAATAGCACTGTTTTACACCATCATTCACTTCCAAAACCACAGAATTATAAATGCGTGTTATTGGAGCATTCCCACCTTGGAGGCTTCGTTCTGTGGTTTCATCTGTAGGCAGTATAGGATGCTGTGCAGGAGATGCACAGGAAGGGCAGCTCCTTTGCACAAGTGGGTACAACGTGCTGCTGAATTTGGACCTTCTGGTCTCCTCCTCTCTGTTTGGGGAATCTGTCACAGTGCTGCTGGAGCAGAGCGAGCCACTCCTGTGCTCTGCAATCTCCATCCATCAAATTCCAAGGGAAGTCTGTCCTGCCATCCTTCTGGGTGAGGTTCAAGTCCTCATTCTTTCCATTGTGTGAACTAATATACTTTTCATTGTGCTTCTTTTGGGAGCACTTTGAGGAGTGGCTTTTTAGGCATTCCTTTGGCATCAGCAAAAGAACTTCCTTTCTAACTGTACTTTTAGGTGCAGCTGTTTCTTGTGCAGAAATTGCTTTTCTTGGTACTCAGCGTCTTGAAAACTAGTGATTGAAAGCAGCGGGAATCCAGCCTGGATGGGATTAAAATCTCTGTTTTTACCTTGCCCTCAAGGGAGATCTGACCAAGAGACAGGAATCACAATTGAGAAGTGTCTGATTGTAGGCATCTGGAATAGTTTAATCATTGGGAAAGCTTCTCGAGACAAGATATTGAAGGAGATACACTGGATGTGTCACCTAGAAAACAGCTTTGATCTGCATGTCAAATTCACAGAAGTCTGCACTCATGGAATATAACCAGGAAAGCCATTGTAAAAATCCTGCCAGCAAAGAAACATTGGGCAAAGGTGTGGAAGCCGAGTCTGAGCCACACTCCTGAAGGCTTTGGGGCTCAGCTGTGAGCTTGGACAGCTGTTTTCCCCATTGGTTCAGGGCAGAAGTGCCTTTCAGGTGGGGATTTGCCTTTTAGGTGCACTCCCTTTAATGAGAAATTTTTGCTGGTGTTTCAGAGGGATCCTCCAAAGACCGAAGAGCAGCATGAAGAGGTGCATCCCTCTGCTGCGATAGTGAGCATGC